AAAAGTTTGCTTATCGATTTGAGAGCAGAACCGCACCCTTGTTGAAAAACAAACAAACCAGCCTCCAGTATTGTACAAGAATGACCCCAAAGACCGTTACGTTTAGTGGTTTGGACTATACAGTAGCATACTAGAATTCTTTCCTTATGGTGATGGTTGCTATTTAATAAACGATGCAGGTTTTATGGGTAGCACGTCCCTTCAGAGCTGTATTGTCCGACTATTGCTTCTGCCAAGCTGTTGCCGCTCAGTTACTAGGTGTTGGGGGGCGTGTAATGGAGACAGATGGAAGGTGGGAAACGATAAATTGACCCAGCAGTTCCAGAGGCTACTATCAGGCAAGCTCTCGGTCCCTTGTCTTGCTTGTGCAAGAGGGGCTGTGGTGTGTCTGTCCCCTCCCTCGCTAAACAAAATCTCTTGTAACTCCTGAATGTTATTGCACAATGGGAGGAGGCTCCTTCTCAATAGGGTTGGTCAGTGTCTCCTCCCTCTTTCACCCGCCCTCCTGCTGGCTCCCTGGTAGGAAGTGAGGATCACTGGGCACTTTCCTCTTGGGTTGCTGTGGAAGCCTGAGCCCTCATCGTCCCTTCACACTGCAGAGCAGTTTCCTCCAGGATCCAGGGGAGGGGAAAAAAGGTGGGAGGGAGCCAGCGGAAGGGCCCGCCGCCTGCTGTTGTCAGGGTGGCGGTGACTTCATTCTTTTCTTAATATAGAGTCGGTTGTCAGGCTCTGGACAGAGCCGGGCTGGAGGGACTGGTTGTCAATCACATGACGTCACGATACGCCTATGTGAGCACAGTAAACACTAGGTTCTGGTCATTATAGCGCTATGTATGAGTGCGCGCGAGTATGGACTGCTCGTTCTCTCTCTGTGTGCCTGGGACCTTCTGAAACACAATGCTCCCTTCCCTTCCGCTTTCTGTGAGAGCCAGACCAGGTCTCTATGGTCTCTCACCGTGCAGAGCTCAAAAGGTAACATCATTGGAGGGGGGAGTGATGTAATTCTCTCCGTGGCCAGTAGCTGCCTACGCTTGCGGGGGGGGGAGAGGAATATCAGCATAATCTGAGCTGCCCCCAATGTGCCGTGCAGATTGGAGAAGGCTGATATCCCAGTCGAGCACAAATGCACTCCCTTTAATCTTGAGTGATTGTGAAGAGGTGAAACGGTGGAAGATCCTCTCTGTCTCCAGCTCCGGAAGGAGATTGGGTACAGCCCAGCACACGGCGTGTGTGCAGTAAACACGCCGATGTGCTCTGGCAGTAAACAAATCTAATAGCCTGTCTAATACAGCAACTTGCTTCAGGCAGCTCCCCCTCACACGCTCATACCCACACACTTCCCTTCTAACAAAAGCCTGTTTAATATTGGTTAGTGCGTCAGCTTTTGTTCTGCAAGCAGCAGTAAGTATTCCTATTTTTATAACCTATTGTAATACATAATGTGACCGTTGATATCCCGACAAACCCAGCTCCTCACCACACATACACACACCCTCTAGAGTAAAAGACCCACGTACACTCACACGCCCCTATAGTTCAGTGACACAACCCCAAAATACCCTCTTCAATTCCTCTGTATCCCTCTGCCTTTGCAATGTGGTAGATAGAAGAGCAGGAATCCCTCCACCCCCAAAGGAAATACTGAATTGCACTTACTGATCCGTCAGAGGAGGAAAAACACCCTTCTCAATGTAAAGCAAAATAGCCAGTTGCAGGACGCTGCCAGTATTAGGGGAAAGCGAAGAAAAAAAAATCTTCCAATAGCGAGATCTCCCCCCAGATCCGGCTGTTTAACCAGAAAAAAAAATAAAAATAACAACTCCCCCGTTGCCCTTTTTGTGCAGTTTCAGCAAAGCTGCAAGGAAGTTGGTCCTTTTGTTCCACTATTTATAGATTGCGTCAACATTGCGAAAAGGAGAAGGCGGAGCAGTGGCACTTACTCCTCCGAGAGAGAGGGAGAAAAACCCAGCACACACGCGACCTTAAGTACACAACACTGCGACCTCCTCCTCTCCTCCTCCTCCACCACCCCACTGAGCAGCGCCAGAGATCAGATTCAATCACGTGTCTGAGGAAAGCACCAGCCTGCCCAGTGCCTGCTTAGTGCTGCCTTGCCATGCACAGCAGCAGCAGCGGCAGCAGAGAGAAGCCACTCTCCCCGCTCGCAGGGACTCGGGAGCTCACGCACAGGTTGTGCTTTATATGTGTAGAGGAATGAATTTCCCTGCGTGTCACACACTGAACTAATACAAATACTCGTCACAGTGCCCACTGCTGCCACCATCTGTGTTCTCCTCCATTGCTCTTGTCGAGTATAAATAGTTGAATGCACTCGTCTGCTTTACTACAAAACAGTAAAGTGAATTTGTTACAACCCTACCATTGCAAATTCGCTGGAGATTAGCACGCAGGGAAGCAACATTGCTGAGAACCACAGTACAGGCTCTCTCCTCTCCGCAGGTGTACCGAGAATGCCTGACAGTTCACTTTTCATTCCTACCGTATAGGAGGGGAAGAGAGTACGTCAGAGCAGGTTCCTGGAGGGTTAATGGCAAAGCATTTGCTGAGAGACTATTTAAACCTCCCATTTAAAGCTGATGTGGAATAAGTTACAATTCCCCTTCGCCATCCATGAAATGAAACTGCACTTTTCTGGCCTAAGGCCAGCGTCTCAGGACTAAATGTAAACAAGGCATATTGCAAGAGGGCCTTCCCGTGAAACGAAATAAAATTGGCTTGTCTTGAAGTGTTCATCTTCTCAGTTTCCAACCGCTCGGTCCCCTCTTTCTGCTACACATTTAATTTTTCCACATTTGGACTAAAATAGTTTAGAAAAGCAGAGCAGTGAGGGGAGTGACTGACTCCAGGGTAAGTTGATACGGGTGAAGTCACGAGAGATAGGATCTTTCCGTGGGCTTAACTGTGTTGTTAACAAGCTGAAAGAATATACGCTTTTACAGAGCTTCTTGTCCCCTGTCTCTTAGGGACCATTGGAGGGGGTGGTTCCAGTGGTACCTTCTCTGCTTGAAAGTTTGCTGGTAAATTATGGAAAGGGGAGGCCGGGCACCGGACTTGTGTGGACCTGCTAAACGCTTCCTAATTTCTTACTTAGGGTCAGCAAGAAGCTGGTGTTGCCTCCTGTTACCTCTAAGAAGCATTTATTAAACTTCTGCGGGATTGGGAACCTTCTATGTTTAGAAGGAGAAATCCTTTCTGCTAGCACCAAGCCTATCTCTCTCTTTTTCTCTCTCTAATGAGCATATACTTATGCTCATTACAGAAAGGAATTGAAGGAGTGAAACGAGACTAAACGATTTTGCGCTAATGAACCGAGTGATGTGATTGTTCTTAAAAAATTGCAGTGGATATGTAGAGAGAGAAACTGCGTTTGAACAGAAAGTATGGACCGGGAGAGAATCCGAGTTTTTTTTTTCTTTCCCGTCGAGTGGTTCCTGCCCGGGTGATTTCCTGTTGTTTATGTTACATCACAATTGATTCTTTTCCTAATATTATTTTTAAAATAGTCAGTTTGAACCCACACCCCTCGTGCGCCCACGCTCATCTTAATGCAAAGTGGTGGTGGGGGGGGGGGGGGGGAGGAGATCTGCACTGTGCCTCATTTTTATAATCATAGAAAACTCTGAACGACAGTGAAATAAATACATATATTGTGGTTATTTTCTTATCTTGTACCCTGATCCTGGCTTATCTTCTTTACAGCTTTGCACTTGGGAATGAGAACTCTCGCTCCCTTCCTTGCTGCTGCTGCTTCTTTCCGCATCAGCCGACAGTTTGCTCATCCTCGCTGAACTTTTCCATAGCACTATGGGTATTTTTTTCTGCTGTGCTATAGTTAGCCCCCCCTCCCAATAATTAAAATAAACCTGTCTGGAAATAGACAATGTTCGGTGTCGCTCACAGGACCAATTTCCTTCAGTGTGTAGGGTGAAAGCCCCTTCAGAAAATGCAGGTTTTTGACATATTTTTTCATAACGTGTATAA